CAGTACCTATTTATACCATCACAAGTACCTATTTCATACCATCACAGTACCTATTTATACCATCACAGTACCTATTCATACCATCACAGTACCTATTTATACCATCACAGTACCTGTTTATACCATCACAGTACCTAATGCACGCATATTATACAAATTGTATGCGTTTTATAAGCTTGTATTCTATGAGCTTGGTGAAAATTTCGGATACCAACTTCAATATTATACTCAATCACATACCTTCCCTATAAGGCCAATTACAGACGATGGCCTCTCACCTAATCATACATGTCAATTACGCAACCAATCTAATACAACCGGATGTAAAAAGTAGCTAATCATAACCATCTTATTTGACCAATTATAACGTTGTAATTAAAGCCTTTCGCTCCCGAATTCGGAATGTTTATCAATCGACATTACTTATAAGGTGCTTAGCTGCATTCAATACGGATGTCATTCAAACAAAGACACACCTATCATGTTTGCAGATACACAACAGCAAACCGTGTGCAATCACAATTATGTTCAAAATAATACTAATAATAACATCAGCGCCACTTATTTTGAGTATGGCATTAATGGACACCGCCATGCCATCTAAAAAAAGAATACGATCACAAGCACAATACATATGACAGTCTGAAATGAATAATTGCGACAATTTTTAGTCCCTGTTCGGACGCAGTCCGAAAACGGGGACTTTTGTTTTGCCCGTTGTGCGTCCGTCCGTCCGTCCGTGCGTCCGTCCGTCCATGATCACCTGTATCTCGAACATGCATGGACCGATTAAGTTCAAACTTCACTCATGCATCACACATTATATGGGACATATGCACATGCATTTTTTTCATGATCCGATTAACGATAGCCGAATAGCGGCCATTTTAAGACCGAAAATGCATCAAAATCGCACATTTTCACCATTCCGGACCCGGATCTCAGTTATGCATGGACGGATTTTGTTCAAATTTGGTACATACATTAAACATAATAGGACCTTGATGCACGTCATTTTTTTTTTGGATCGGGTTCAAAATGGCCGACTGGCGGCCATTTTGTTTTAAAGAATGCAGTTCTGGATCCGTATCTGAGACATGCTTGGATTGATCGAGTTCAAACTTCACACACACAAGGTACATCATGTCACAAATATGTATGTGCATTTGTTTCATGATCTCATTAACGATAGCCAAATGGCGGCCGCTTTAAGGCCGAAA